GAGGTATTCGGCCAATCACAACGCACTGGATAGCTGGCCAATCAGAGCACACCTAGCTTTTCAGACTGATGAGCTTTGTAAAAATTGACTCGTTTCAGAAAGGCGGGGCATAGAGGAGAAACAATAATGTACAGTATGTGGAAAATAATGTGTTTTTTTAACCTTAAACCGCATAAACTCATTTCATTACACCAAATACACAAAATAATGTTCTTTTTAGCAACGTCATATGACCCTTTAAAACATTTTATTTGATCTTTACATGGGACTGGCTTACAAGCACCTTAGATTTCCTGTAGTATCTGGACCATGAAACACTAAAGGTTTGGATGTAGACCGTCTACATGACAGAGTACAGATACACGGCCTTCAAGTTGACACTTCGTCACACATTGAATGAATGATGCATTTTATCACTTTAAAGTAAACAATTAGCTCACTTCTCAAACTCTGACCTATAACGAGCACTGAGTTTATGCCTTAAGGATCTATGTCACTGACACCCCCTTAAAACATCCGCTCACACACACAGTAACACAAACACACACACCTCACCCACGCAGTTTAATAAATCTAATCATCAGGTCAAGCATGCCGGAGCGGCCTTCGGTGAAGGTGATGCTCCAAAACAACACACATGCAGAAATATATATCAATACAAATATACATGCAGAAGCCCAAACAAGAGAGAGGTCATTAGCATTTTAAGGATTATAACATATCATGATAATTAATTTACTCTCAAAATTCATTTGGTTTTAGAGGTAATAGTTATTTAGGATATTATTTGAAATGCACTCTTTAGAAAAGACTATTAATTAGTTCATTAATACATTTTTAATATGTAATGCATTTATAATTTAATCATTTTTTGTTTGTTTTTATTATTATCATTTTATTTAATTTTTTTTTTTTTTTTTTTTTCAGTGGTGTCGGGATCGGTGCTTGGAAAATCCGAAACCTTTTTCTTTTCTTTCTTTTTAGCCCAGTTCCAGAGAGAGAACAGATAGCCCTGTCTGTGCTTGGAAATACAGTTACTACTATGTGAATGAAATGTTGTACAAATCAATGTCTGAAAATAATGATAATTCAGAAATTTTTAAGTTAAGCGTTTTATTTCATCTGCCATGAATTAACGTAGTCGCATGCTGTAGAATTTGCTTAAACAGGAGCTGACATCTTTAGGCCCACTTACCTTCACCGGGACGGCGAAACCGATATGAAACTGAGAATTTTTGACCATTGAAACATTGATTCCAGATGTTTTACACATGCTGTGCATACATCCTTTACTTTTACCGGCGAAGCTATGCACCAATATGAGAAATCGCGAGGGCGATACGACATGTATTTCCTGCAGACGACCTGTAAGTCATGGCCATGCTTCCTGAAATTGTCCCGAATTAAACGACAGTTGCGAAAAGTTTTTTTTTATCATTTTTTTTATTTTTTTTTTTTTTTTTTTTTTCAGTGGTGTCATAGAAAAAAAAAAATGGTTTCCCCAAAGAACCTTTCAGCGAACAGTTCTTAAAATAACCATTTTTTTTTCTCAGTGTGAAGAATATAAAAAAAAAAATCTAAAGAACATTTTTCCACTATAAAGAACATTTTCTGCAATTACAAGATTCCATGGACGTTAAAGTTTCTTCATGGAACCATCAATGCAAATAAAGGGAAATGTGATAAATTACACCGGTGGTTGATTACATTTCTTATGACATAAAATGAAATATTTTTATGTTATGTTTTTAATGTTCTGTAAACTATTGTCTTATAATAATGTCTTCTAAAAGTACAGAGGTTGACATTAATATCTCTGTATTTTCCTATTTGTTTTATTAATATACAGACAGTTTTATTTCTGACAGGTTTAGTTTTAACTGAACCGTTTAATAAATGAATTGAAACAATTGAAATTAATTACAATTATTTGACTGAATAATTAATTAATAATTATGATTATTAATTAAAATAATTATTAACTAATAACATTAATATTTATTATAATTGTAATAATATTTAATAATTTAATAGCTAATACGTTCGTAGTACATTTCATTAATTAAATGATAGTATTGTTTAATATAATTTTATATATGCTATATATTTTTATTGTTCCTTTTTACATTATTATATTTTTGTTCTGTGTTTTTCCTTTTAAATTCAACCCTTGGTTAATTGTTTGCCTTTTTTTCTTCTTCTTCTTAATTTGAACCTTTGGTTAATTTCAACACTTTGGTTATAAACAGTATTCTAATGCTTAAAAATGTTGTTGCTTTCACCAATAGTGCTCATTAATGTGCCTGTTAGGACTCCTTATCATGTATCAAATGGAAAATGTATTTCATTTAAACGAACTACCTGCTTGAGCAAACAACATAACAACTGCAGCATAACCTCAAATACTCTGACGTGTTGTTTTAGTAATGAAGAGAGTTTGTTTGCTCTGTTTTTCTTAATGTGTGATGTTGTGAAGTGAGAGGCCAGCTGTCTGACACAGGTTAGAGCCGGTTGGCGGGAGCTGACAGGCAGGGCTGTTCCCAACAGTAATGATGCAGGCGCGAGGGCTCTGTGTCTGACGGTAAAGCCGGTGTTCTGACGATTTGTGCTACCCTGTCAGATTTTGCTACCTCCCTTTAAAACAGATGGTAGCATAATTCTATAGCGAAAAGTGCTACCTATCAGATTTTGCTTCCAGCATGATATTAATAAGGTGTGAGGCTTTATTAACATGTACACCTACCCCAACCCTAAACCTACCCTTACAGTAGGATAAATACAGTGTTGGTAGCATAATCTGATAGGTAGCCTAGCATTATTTGTCAGAACACCGGCAGCTACATCTGTCCTTTGATATTAATGTGCACCGAAAACAATGCGTAGCCTCACCGCACACAGAGCGGCTGAGATAAAGTAACCTGTGCTTGACATTATAACATTATATGATTATATATGAAACAAATATATTAATTAATTCATGTTTTTAATGGTTTTATACAATTACAAATACAGCCAGGGGGTACATTAGGATAAACAATAATACATTAATAATAATAATAATATCAAAGGATATTATTAAAAACAAAATGTTTACAAATCATACATTTTACAGCGTTCGTATTTTTCAAGCATTATTTTTTTTTAGATATTTTGGAGCTTCTGTCTTTAAAATTAAAATGAATTTATATATTCATATTCATTCTTTTCATTTGTGTCTGCGGTTTTAAACACGATTGGAGCGCGTGTATTTTGGCCACGCCTCCTCATCAGCTGACAGCGCGCGTGACGCACTGTACTGACTTCCTAGCGAACAACGCAAGCGAGCGGAGCATCAGAGTAAAAGTATGAGAATTAACGGTAAGTGTGTTTAGGAAACTACAGCCGGTGATCATGTCCCTCTCATGATCTGGTATCTGTAAGATGTGTGAATGAGGACTTTGATCCGTACTTCCGGTGTTTTTGTTTACCTTCTGCTATAACAGTGTATCGTTAACAGTGTAAAAGCACCGCTTGTTGTTTTAAAATAGGTGCTATTATGTGCTGAATATTAATAAATAACAAAAATAATTATAATGCACATGTTGACAGATCTGGATGTCCGTTTACATGGGAGGTCTCTTTGTGTGGAAAATATGTTTGACAGTACAAAGTTAAATACTATGTCATAAAAAGAGATAAAATGTGTTCAAAAGGGCAATGATTGTTAGGTCATTGTATTTCATGGATGTCAAGTAAGTTTATTTGTATAGCACTTTTAATAAAACATGAAAAAGTGCACATTATTGACGTTGTCATAATTATATAGGTGCTAAAGAATAGGCTAATCATAGAATATTGCCTTCAGAAAGTGTGCATCGTATAAGTTTTTATTATTAATAATATTAATTTATGGAAGTACTTTCTGTTTTGCATGCAGTCTGTTTGGGTTTGAGATGTCCAATTAATAAATCAAAATGATTCATTTGAAAACCTTACATTACTGCATTACATTATTTAAGTTGTCACAATACATAATAATCACATTTTATTTTCTTATGGAAGTATTTTCTGTTTTTATGTGGTGTGTGTGTGTGTTTGTGTGTGTGTGTTGAAGATGTCCAGAGGATAAAGTCAAACCAAGATGATCCACTAGCAAGACCTGATAGTTCTGGTTTCTCTTCACAGGGTGTTTTTAAGTTTCGGGGTGGGATTTCGGGAGAGATGCCGTCTAATAAGAGTGTCTCAGATGCCCCGATCACACAGTTTGTGAACTGCAGGATACTGAAGGATCACAAGCTGCAATGGTAACATATGATGACACACTTCTGATTTCTTTACAATTATGATCATAATTTTATATTATAATTTTCTTAACGTAAGAAGTTTGTTGCAAACAGTACAGATTCACATGCATTCTCACATATTAGACTGGCCTTTACAGTGTTGGATAATATAAATGTTAATGACTTGGTGTAATTATTTGTTCCATATAAAAAGCTGGTTAAAACATTATGAGCTGTAATTGACTCCTGATGAAATCTACACATTTTTTACAGTGATTTTGAAGGGAAATCTTTGTGTTTATAGGGAAGACCTGTGGGTTCGTGAGGGCAAGATTTTGAACCCGGAGAAGCTGTTCTTCGATGAGGAGGGTTTTGCGGATCACAAAGTTGACTGCGAGGATAAAATCATTGCACCTGGATTCATAGATGTACAGATAAATGGTAAACAAGACTCTAAAACCAGCATAAGACTAATGTAGAAGTACACAGCAGGTTGACATTGTTACATTCACCAGTTTATGTAAAAGTCTCTCTGTTCTTACTGATATCTTGTAATGCTAAGCTCCTCCCCTCTTCTCGCTCATAGGTGGATATGGCATCGACTTCTCCCAGGCCAGCAGTGACATCAGAGGAGGCGTGGCTCTGCTGGCCAAAAAGATTCTAGAACACGGTGTCACTTCCTTCTGCCCGACCCTTGTCACGTCTCCACCAGACATATACCATAAGGTACAATCTATACATCAATAACCACTCTTCAGTAGTCTCTTGGATGCTCAACCACACACACAAATACATCTCTGCTCTTTTCCCTTGAGATTTTATAGTATCTGAGACTGTATCTAAGAATAAAATGTGTTGATATAATTATGTTTTTGTGCTCTTATGCTTACCAAGACTGCATTCATTTGATCAAAAATACAGTAAAAACAGTAATATTATGACGAAGACCGCATTATTTGATCAGACATACAGTAAAAATAGTAATATTATGACCAAGTCTGCGTTATTTGATCAGAAATACAATAAAAATAGTAATATTTTTGGTCAAAACTGCATTTATTTGATCAGTAATACAGTAAAAACAGTAATATCGTGGCAAAGGCTGCGTTATTTGATCAGTAATACAGTAAAAATAGTAATATTATGACCAATGCTGCATTTATTTGATCAGAAATACAGTAAAAAGAGTAATATTGTGGCCAAGGCTGCATTATTTGATCAGAAATACAGTAAACAGTAATATTGTGGTCAAGGCTGCGTTATTTGATCAGTAATACAGTAAAAATAGTAATATTGTGGTCAAGGCTGCATTATTTGATCAGTAATACAGTAAAAAATAGTAATATTATGACCAAGGCTGCATTTATTTGATCAGAAATACAGTAAAAATAGTCATGTTTTGTCAAAACTGCATTTATTTGATCAGTTAATATTGTGGTCAAGGCTGCGTTTGGTTGATCAGAAATACAGTAAAAATAGTCATATGTTTTGTCAAAACTGCATTTATTTGATCAGAAGTACAGTAAAAACAGTAATATTGTGGCCAAGTCTGCGTTATTTGATCAGTAATACAGTGAAAATAGTAATATTATGACCAATGCTGCATTTATTTGATCAGAAATACAGTAAAAAGAGTAATATTGTGGCCAAGACTGCATTATTTGATCAGAAATACAGTAAAAAATAGTAATATTGTGGTCAAGGCTGCATTTAAATGATCAAAAATACAGTAAAAACAGTCATATTGTGAAATATTATCACAATTTAAAATGACTGTCTATTTGAATATATTGTATAATGTAATTTATTCCTGTGATCAAATTTGAATTTTCAGCCTCATTACTCCAGTCTTCAGTGTCACGTGATCCTTCAGAAATCATTCTAATATGCTGATTTACTGCTCAGTTCTTAATATTTTCAGTGTTGCAAAAAGTTGCAAAACGTTGTGCTCTTTTAGCACCAGTAATGTTGCTGTGTTTCTCTCCACAGGTCATTCCTGAGCTCAAAGTTCAGGATGGAGGACCTGAAGGGGCAGGAGTTTTAGGTAAGATGTACGGTGGGGAAAATATTGATTTGATCCCCTGCTGATTTTGTTAGTTTGCCCACTTACAAAGAAATGAAGGGTCTGTAATTTTTATGGTAGGTTTATTTTAACAGACAGAGCCCAAAAACCTAGAAAAAACACATTATATAAAGGTTCAATGTTCAGTTTATTTATAAAGCACATTTAAAACAACTTTAGTTGACCAAAGTGCTGTACATAAAGCATAAATCTAATTACAGCATTTAAAAAATGCACAGACCTAATCGCTTCATTAGTACTGCATAGGCTTAAACACACCAGTAAAGTCCATATAAGCTTAAATCAGCCCAATCACCTATCATTAAAAGCACGTGAGAAAAGATGTGTTTTTAACAGACATTTCAATTCAGACACCGTAGAAGCAGTTCTTATAGATAGAGGCAGAGTGTTCCATAATTTGGGACCAGCAACAGAGAAGGCTCTATCTCCCCTACATTTTAGTCTGGTTCTGGGAACCCACAACATATGTGTAGTCTGAGATCTGAGTGATCTGACAGGATTGTGAACAATAAGCAACTCCGAAAGATATTGAGGAGCAAGACAATTTACAGCTTTGTACACAAAAAAGCAACATTTTAAACTCTATGGTACTGCAACGGTAACCAGTGCAGCGAGCGTAAGATATTTGGTTAGAAATTGATTTGCATTTCAGTGAGTGAAATAAGTATTTGATCCCCTACCAACCAGCAAGAATTCTGCCTGGCTCCCACAGATTGGTTATGTGCCCATGTGGAACACAGATTAGTCCTGTCACTTTAAGAAGTTACTCCTAATGTCAGCTCATTAGGTGTATAAGACACCTGTCCACACAATCTGTATCTTCCTTTCCAACCTCTCCCACCACCATGGGCAAGACCAAAGAGCTGTCAAAGGATGTCAGAGACAAGATTGTAGATATGCACAAGGCTTGAATGAGCTACAAGACCATCAACAAGAAGCTTGGTGAGAAGGAGACAACTGTTGGTGCGATTATCCGGAAATGGAAGACATACAAAATAACCATCAATAATCTGCCTCGGTCTGGAGCTCCGTGCAAGATCTCGCCTCATGAGGTAAGGATGATCATGAGAAAGGTGAGGGATCAGCCCAGAACTACACGGGAGGAGCTTGTTAATGATCTTAAGGCAGTTGGGACCACGGTCACCAAGCAAGGTCCCCCTGCTCAAGAAGGCACATGTACAGGCCCGTTTAAAGTTTGCCAAAGAACATCTAAATGATTCAGAGAAGGCTTGGGAGAAAGTGCTGTGGTCAGATGAGACCGAAATTTAGCTCTTTGGCATTAACTCGACTCGCCGTGTTTGGAGGGAGAGAAATGCTGACTGTGACCCCACGA